GAGAGAGAGAGAGAGAGAGAGAGAGAGAGAGAGAGAGAGAGAGAGAGGTGTTCGTGTGTGTAAAGATTTCCTTTCTCCTCTTTTTCTCTTTCCCACTTGACAAAACGACTTAACACTTTAGCGAGCGATATGCAGTCAATTTGTTTTACAGACGCACAAGAAAGAAAAGAAAGAAAAGGAGAGAAAAAAAAGGAAAAATTAAAATAAACTACAATTTGAAAACTAGCCCACAGCATAAAACTTTACACAAAGAAACAGAAATGTCAGTCCGTCAGTCTTTTACCTGTTTGTCACCAATTTAATTTTCAAATTTTTCAAATACTAGTATATTAAGTTATGTACCGGTATCTATTTAGCATTAATTATTTATATATATATATATATATATATATATATATATATATATATATATGTATATGTATATATTTCAGGCCTTCAACCAAGCTGAATGTTTTCCCAATTTCACAAAATTGTTGCTGTTCATAAACTGCACAAGACATTACTATTTTTAGATTTCACTTGTAATTTTTTTAGCTGCAATCTGTCAACAGATTTAAAGGTTTTTTTTTTGCTATCAATACAGAAACAAACAGTGTCTGGTTAAAAGCCTGGGATCCAGTCATCTCAGCAGCAGACGTGAACAGCAATCTTTTATTTAAAAAATCATAATTACCTTGAATATGGGCCCAACATCCTGGATTCACGCTGCTGAAGAGAAGACCAGTTTCCCAAAGACTCATTCCACATTGTTGCACCAAAATATAGTGGTTTACTACATTAATACTTTTGGATTCATTAATAAAACAGTAGACACCTTGGTTCTGTTTGACAGCAAAATGGGGGTTTTATTTGAAGCTTAGCCCAAAGGCCGAACAGCCAGGAATACCTCGGGACCTCAAAGACAGAACCCCTCTCCTCAACACAGCTCTGTCCTGATTTATACCCTTAATTGACGTCAGAAGTCAGAAGGCTGCACAACACATATCAGTCCTTTCCCATTTTAGGAAAACACCTGAGAAAAGCAAATTCTTCCTAGGTCAGCCCGACACAAACCAGCACTAGTTGTTAAAACAGTTCTGAGTTGTTAAAACAGTTCTGATGGGAAACAGTCTTATACAAACAGTCGATCTTACGCCCAGAAATTCCTGGTACTTTTAGATCAACAAGTACAGGTCAGCTCAAGCACATCTCAGAATCTGCTAAAAGCAAGTTCTGTTGAACACAGTTGTTGTAAGTTAAACTTGGGCCTTATTAAACAGATTATCCAATTAATAAAGTTTCTTAGGTTCTACAGTTGGTACCATCTGGTAGACGACTGCTGGTTCCTTTAGCAAAGAAAAATGGGTACAAAAAGTCATTTGTTCCCTCTGCGGTGAATGCACTTAACAAGGTCCTATTTAAACGCAGCCTCGCATAACAAACCACTGTCTGCTGGGATGTTTCCATATTTTAATGTATAGTGTATTTTAGAATGGTTTTAACTGCATGCATTTAATTGATTTAGCCTTGGTTTTAAAGTTTTTAAATGACATTTTTATTTTGTTTTTATAAGCCAGATGTCAAAGACAAATCACCATTTCATTGAATGTTATGGACAATAAAGTTAAATTGATTGATTGATTGATTGAACACTGGCCTCTCACTGAATACCATTAGTAGACAATGTCTCCGCATCATCCTTTAGCAGCCTTGGTCCTTAAATACAACAAGGTGGCTCATTAGGAGAATGAGCCACTGTTGAGGAGATAAGAACACCCTGCCATTCATCTTTGTCTTAATCTTGTACTGTTTATTCATACTTGTGTTGCAAAGGCAACAGGTCCAGGAGGAAAACCCAGGAATGAAGACAGATCAGTAAATCCGGAGCTTTGCCATTTGACTCAGTTTTTCTTCATCACAGCAGACTGAAGTAATGCCCTCATTACTGAGGATGAGGCCCCATTATTTCGATCCATCTCTCGTTCCATCCTACCATCACTTATTAACAAGATGCCCACATACACTCCACCACCTGAGGCAAAGTGTCCCCCCCACCCCAGAACTGGAGGGGGCTGTGGTTACCCAATCTGATGCGGAAGCACGATCCGTAGTGTCAGCTCCTTTGTGCATGCGCTAAAAACGATACTTTCAGATCGCATGGGTGATGTAACGCTGCTTCAGTTCACCACGAAGTGGCACTGTTTCACCATGGAAATAATTAGAATATTGGTTTATAATCATTGTGCTTTATTTCAGTGGTAATGAACAGTTGTGTAAATAAAAACAACCACTTTATGCTGGCTTTGATTAAGTAATCATTTGATTGATTTGATTAATTATTCATTAATAATTTGACTGTAATGATTTGTCACTAGAGTCAACTAATTACTGGTAACTATTTTAAAAGCTTATACAGGACTTTTTTGACAAGTTGTATAAGAGTGATCAGTAATGGCTTGTGTCCCAATAAATCACACAAAAATTTAATAACTGCAAGGCATGAAAGGAATGTCAGGCGGCAGTATTGTCCCAAATGTTTGCCTTGACTGTACATAGTCTTCTAACAAAGACAAACTTGAGGGAAGCACAGAGCTTTACAAGGATAACCATCAAAACTGAGACTTTTAAATCTTTGCAAACATTTCACTGGAAACAAACGGTCTGATTGTGCAATGCAGAGCTTTCATTTCCACAGTAACTCGTCCAGTGCACTGCAACGCCCACCTGGAGTGGAAACAGCAACTTTAAGTTTGTTCCCATGTCCAGAAGACAAATGAACCAGTACTTCTTGACCCCCCC